GATGGATGGATGGATGGATGGATGGATGGATGGATGGATGGAACAAGCTTCTTGGATGGGAAGAGAAACGCCTTGAAACTTTGAAACAAAGTCCAGCTGTTTCTTACCTTTTTTTGGAATGACCATGACCTGGATGACTGAGAATCTTCAGCACCTGTTGATGGAAGAGCGCAGAGAGGGCAACAACGATCTGCGTTGAGTTTTTCTAGATGCAAAGAAAGCGTATGACAGGACGCCAAGAGACGAGCGCGGGTAGCAGAGAGGTATGTTAGCGTGGTGAAGGAGATGGAAACGAGCTGTAAGATGGCGCTCAGGTGTGACAGGAGTTGGCGCTGCATTAATCTGAGCCCTGTCTTGTTTGCAGTGGTGACAGACACATTGGACAGGAATCTCCATGGACTATGATCTTTGCAGATGATATTGTAGTGAAAGCAGGGAAGAGATGGAGGGAACTCCAGAGAGATGGTTAGCAAATGTGAATATGTCTGGATGAAAGAACCCAAAGAGGAGCCATGAGGTTATGGGGAGCGGAAAATAAAGGAGGTGGCGGATTTTAAAAACCCTGGGTCAACAGTCCGTAGAGTGAAAAGGTACGGAGAGTGGAGAGGTACGGTAGTTCATGTCGCTGCAGAAGTGTCGGATGGAGACAAATGACTTCTGTGGCAAAGGAAAAGACGACTCCATTACCGTCCACCTCTGGTCACCCCCACAGTGCCTGATGTGTATCGAGGTTAAAACCACAGCCAAGGCAGGATAAACATGTTTCAGGTCCATCGTGTATCTAAAAAGAGTCTTTTCTTAAACTTCCAGGATGGACCATGGAGACAGAGGGATGAGGGTGTCGGACCTTCGCTATGAGGAAGAGGATGGTGAGTTTGTTTGCACATGTCCTGACCAAACAAACGAGTGTCCCGTACATAAAAAAATGTCTTTCCTCCTTATTTGGTCTTTAATTTGTTTTAAACCAGTTTTATTTCTGAGTCTGTTGGAACAGAATTCCAAACTCATGCATTTCGCTTCACAGATAGAGGGGCGGAATGCCTCTCATTGTCACAACATCCAACATTTCTGTGTGTCTTTGTCATGATCAAGACAGAAGACCCCAATTTTCAGCCAGAAACACAGAAGTAGAACTTAAACAGTTTAGGAGAGCATCCACCGAGGACCAGGGGTTACTAAGAATGGAGATGTAGGTTAGTGGCTTAAAGGAGTTCAAATAGTGAAACTAACAAAACCACTAATCTTATCAGAGTCCTCCCTTCAGCGGGGATCAGCAGCTTTAACAGAGCGGACTGCTCCTTTAACAGATGTTTGGGTGGCCAACAGTTGGGTGGCTTGGAGCGCAGAGGCAGGATCAAGGTCCTGGAAGACAGACTCAGGCTTAATGATCAGGGGGTTTGGAAGGAGGCTAAAGTCAAGGGTCGTTGTCCAGAAGGCCGTAAAATCCAACAAATTCTAGGCAAGAGGGAAAATCCATGAAGCAAAGATGTGGTCAAAAACAGGTAACATGAAGTGCTGCAATTATCTGGCCCTGTCTGCCTGACACAAGCTGATTTATAACTGCAGGAGCACAGCTGAGAGACATAATGTTGATTGCTCTGCAGAGCAGCAGGCAGCACATGGAGTTGATCGCTCGATGGAAGAGCAGGGCAGGCAGACTGGCCAGAATCATAACAGTCTTCCTGTTGATCTTGTTATTCAACCAGAACTACTATTGGAAGTCATAGAAACATCAGGAAGCAGAGTCTCAACTAAAGCCCCATTTTCCACTACCCTTTTAAAACCGTGCCAAGATCAGTCCGAGCACGGCAACAGAGATAACTGCCAGGTTAAAACTGAACCAACCCGTACCAGAAACAACCAAACCAGGCTAAACTTGGTCTAGTTCATCAGTAGGGCTCAGGGCGGTT